CACCAGGGTGGAGTGGGGGGTGTGGGACCATCACCAGGGTGGAGTGGGGGGTGTGGCATCCCCATGGGAGGCACCAGGATATGGTGGTGGGCATGGAACCCCCATGGTAGAACCATCACCAGTATGAGTTGGCAAACATGAGACCCCCACCAGTACGGGCTGGAGGCCATGAGACCCCAGGGTGGGCACCAGTGTGGGCTAAAGACCACGAGACCCCCACCAGACTGGGTTGGTGCCCGTGAGACCCCCTCAGGATGCCCCCCCCGGGTGCCAGGTGTCCCCCCAGCTGCTGGGTGCCCCCCTTTGCCCCCCCCAGGTGACCCATTTGCCCCCATGCGTGCCCTCTCTTGCCCCCCCGGGTGCCCCCTTTGCCCCCCGTGCCCCCTCACCGGTGGAGGCCCCCAGTGCCAGGGCCTTGACGGCGTGCCCGGGGCTGCGGATGCCGCCGTCGGCGATGACGGGGACGCCGAAGCGCCGCGCGTACTCGGCCACGCGGTACACGGCCGTGGCCTGGGCACGGCCACACGCCAGCACTGCGGGCAGGACACCGTCAGGGGGACAGGGACACCCGGACAGCGGGGACAGGGACACAGGAGGGACAGGGACACACGAGGGACAGGGACACCGGGACACACGAGGGACAGGGACACACCAGAAGGGACAGGGACACCGCAGGGGGGGCCGGGGTGTGCCGGGGGGACCTGTGTGATGTCAGAGGCCAGGGGTGTCCCAGTGCCACCCTGGCAGTCTGAGGGTTCCCAGGGTGCCAGAGGTGCTGGGGGGCCAGGGGGCCAGGGGGCCCAGGGGGTCCTGGGGTGCCAGGGTGGGTCGGGGGGGTCCCAGTGCCACGCGGGGGGTTTGGGAAGTCTGGGGTTCCCAGGGTGTGGGGGGTCAGGGAGTCCTGAGGGGTTTGGGGGATCCGAGGATCAATGGGGATCCAGGGGGGTCAGGGGGACTTAGGGGGGGTTGTGGGGGGTCCCGGGCCGGTGCCACCCACCTTCCTGGGTGATGCAGATGGAGCCGCTGCCCATCCCCACCCGCAGCGCGTCCACCCCCGCGTCGATCAGGTTCTTGGCCTGGGCAGCCGTCACCACTGGGGGGACCCCGAAAATGGCACCCCAAACCCTGCCCCGCCCCCAAATCCCACCCCAACACCGCAGGGGGTCACCCCAAAAATGGCACCCCAAATCCTGCCCCAGGGCCCCCCCAAAACCTGCCTCACCACTGCAGGGGGGCACCCCAAAATGGCACTCCTAAAATAGCACCCCAACACTGCCCAGGGCATCCCAAATCCTGTCCCGCCACTGGCGGGGGGGGTAACTCCAAATGCTGCCCCATCCTCCCCAAATCCCACCCCAGGCCACCTCAAATCCTGCTCCCATTTTCCCCACACCCATTTTGGGGTCCCCTCGTTTCCCCCACTCACTGTTGCCCCCCATGACCTGCAGCCCAAGGTGCCCCCAGTGCCCCCCCCGTTCTGGGGTCTCACCGTTGCCCCCCACGACCTGCAGCTCGGGGTACTTGGCCTTGATGTAGCGGATCATGCTGAGCTGGTACCGCGAGTTCCCCTGAGACGAGTCCTGGGGGGGCCCGGGTTTGGGGTACAGGGGTTGGGGGGGAAGTGGGGAGCAGCAGGTTGGGGCACAGTGAGCAGGAGGGGTGCCCCAGTCACCTCACATGATTTAGGGGTGTCTCCTGCGCCCCCCTAAAACTCTCCAGCCGCCCCAGTCCCCCCAGTTTTTGGGGTGCCCTGCCACACCCACCAGCACCACCAGGTTGGTCCCTGTGTGCACCAGCAGCTTCATCCCCGTCCCTCCATCCCCACCCCCTCTATCCCTCCCCAGTTTTTGGGGTCCCCCCACACCCACCAGCACAATGAGGTCGTCCCAAGCCTGCACCAGCGGCACCAGCCCCCCTCCCTGTCCCCATCCCGATCCCTCCAGCACCCCTGGGTTTGGGGTTCCCTATTTCCACGCCCCTCCAGTTTTGGGGTCCCTTCGTTTTGGGGTGTACCCACCAACACCACAAGATCCACCCCCGCCTGCCCCAGCAGCTCCATCCCCATCCCCACCCTCATCCCTCCAGCCCCCCTCGTTTCCGGGGTCCCTCACTTCCAGGTCCCCCTGTTCCTAGGGTTCCCCATTTCCAGGCCCCCCTGGTTTCCAGGGTCCCCCATTTCCAGGCCCCCCTGTTCCTGGGGTCCCCCATTTCCAGGCCCCTCACTTCCAGGTCCCCTGTTCCTGGGGTTCCCCATTTCCAGATCCCCCGTTCCTGGGGTCCCCCATTTCCAGGTCCCCCTGTTCCTGGGGTCCCTCACTTCCAGGTCCCCTATTCCTGGGGTCCCCCATTTCCAGGCTCCCCATTTCTGGGGTTCCCCATTTCCAGGCCCCCCGTCCCTCACTTCCAGGCCCCCTATTCCTGGGGTCCCCATTTCCAGGCTCCCCATTTCTGGGGTCCTCCATTTCCAGGCTCCCCATTTCTGGGGTCCCTCACTTCCAGGCTCCCCATTTCTGGGGTTCCCCATTTCCAGGCTCCCCTGGTTTCCGGGTCCCCCATTTCCAGGCCCCCTGTTCCGGGGGTCCCCATCTCCAGACCCCCCGTTCCTGGGGTCCCCATCTCCAGACCCCCCGTTCCTGGGGTCCCCCTGCTCTGGGACACCCACCAGCACCACGAGGTCGGCCCCTGCCTGCACGAGCAGGTCCAGCCGGTACTTGTCGTCCTCGCGGGTGCCGATGGCGGCGCCCACCCGGAGCTGCTTCCGCCCGTCCTTGGAGGCCGCCGGGTGCTCCCGGTTCTTCTTCAGGTCCGTGCGGGCCATGAGGGCCACGAGCTCGTCCCGGCTGTTCACGATCGGCAGCTTCCCTGTGGGGACACCGGAGGGGTCACCCAGGGCGGGGGGCGCGGGGGAGGCCACAGGGACACGGAGGGGACTCCGGGGTTCGGGGTGGAGGAACGCAGAGGTGACCCCGAGGGACGGTGACAGGGCGGCGTAGAGGTGGCCCCGGGGATGGGGTGACGTTAAAGGAGACCCCAAGGGACAGGGGGACTGTGGAGGAGACCCCAGGGACAGGGGACACGGAGAGGATGCCAGGGACACGGGGACATGAAGGTGACCCCAGAGACAGGGATGGAGGGACACGGACGTGACCCCCAGGGAGGTGACCCCAGGGACCGGGATGAGGCGACACCAGGGCTGGGGACAGGGTGACACGAAGGTACCCCCCATGGTGACACCGAGGTGTCCCCCAGGTCAGGGGAATGTGAAGGTGGCCCCAAGGGGTGGGGTCAGGGTGACACAGAGGTGACCCCCAGGACAGGGTGACAGAGGTGCCCCACACGGGGTGCCCACGGTGACAGGTGTGACCCCAGGGGGGGTGACAGGTGCCCCCCTCACCCTTCTTGCTGCGCTGCAGGATCTCATTGGCCTCTTTGAGGGTGACACCAGCCGGGGCCACCACCAGGTCCCTGCGCTTGGTCATCACCTGGGGACACAGGGACCTGCACGTCATTGTCACAGGCACTGTCATGGGCACTGTCACTGTCATGGGCATCATCACTGTCACAGGCACTGTCATGGGCACTGTCACTGTCATTGTCACAGGCACTGTCGCTGTTATGGGCATCATCACTGTCACGGGCACTGTCACCATCACTGTCACAGGCACTGTCACTGTCATGGGCATTGTCACTGTCACGGGCACTGTCATGCCACCGGTACCAGCACTAGTACTGACACTGTCTGTCACTGGCACTGTCACCTGTACTGGTACTGGCACCATCACTGCCACTGTCCCTGACACTGTCACTGTCACGGACGCTGGCACTGCCACCAGCACTGTCACAGGCACTGTCACTGTGTGTCAGTGGCACTGTCATTTCCATTGCTGCTGTCATGGGGACTGGCACCGCTACTGTCACTGTCACACAGTCGCTGGCAAGGCCATTGTCACTGTCACCTGCACGGTCACTGTCACGAGCCCTGAGGGACCCGGGGCCGCCACGGCAGCGCCCCTGCCCCACATCCCACCGCCCTCCGACCCTTCCCGTCCCGCTGCCCCACGTCTGCCCCACGTGCCACACTGCTGTCCCTCCCTGTCCCTCCCTGTCCCCCCCGTGCCCCCCACACACCTCAGCCAGGGGGGTGCCCCTGTCCCGCTCCCGCAGGAAGTCGATGTCCCGGGAGGTGACGATGCCCTCGAGCCGCCCCCCCAGGCGGCCCGAGTGGGTGACGGGCACCCCCGAGAAGCCGAGCCGGGCCTTGGCGTCCCACACGTCCCCCACGGTGTGCGCCGGGCTCATCACCAGCGGCTCCGTGATGAACCCCTGCTCGAACCGCTGCGGGCACGGGGGTCACCGGGGGGGCACCCCCAAGAACAGGGGGACGAGGGGGGACCCCAAGGATGGGGGCGGTGATGGCCACCAGCTCATCGTTGCTGGTCAGCAGTGGCAGCTTCCTTGGGGGGGCTGGGGCACGGGGGGGGACACAGGGCAGTCCAAGGGGGACGTCACGGGGTGGGGACCCCCCCTTACCTTGACCTTGCGCACCTCGCTGGCCTGGAACTCGGGGGTGCAGTTGTGGTGGATGATGCCGATGCCACCGTTCAGCTGGGGGGGCACGGGGGGCACGGAGAGGGCAAAGGAGGGGCTATGGGGGGGCAGCGGGTTCCTGACCCCCGGCCGGGTGAGCAACAGCCCCGCACAGCCACGGCCCCCCCCCGTTTGCCCTTGTACCCCTCTGGGACTGTGCCCCCCCCCCAGTTCCCCCCACGGTGCCCCCCTCCCCCCAGTCTGTCAGGGCTCCCCTTAGCCCAGACCCCCCAAACCCCTGGATGCCCCCTCAGAGCCCCCTCCCTCTCCCCAAGATGCCCTCACCTCTGTGGGGGCCCTCCCCTCCCGTGCCCCCACCCCAGTGTCCTCCCAGTGTCCTCCCAGTGTCCCCCC